AGAGGCAGAAATAGAATTCTGTGGACATATATGGGCATAAATAATTTCACAGAACTGACAAAGCATAAAGTAGTAGAAGTTGGCAATCGAAAACCACTGGAAAGTGGGCTCCCTGATATATACAGTAATCCAAATCAGCAAGTTAGTTATGCAGTTCTGAAAAGAAAACTGATTTTCAGCTAATCTCTAGAATTTTAGAAATCAACGGATTATTTTTTAGCATCTGAACCAGGCTCTGCTATTGCCATTCTTGTTGTTTGAGCAGAATTAGAACTGAAAATAAGAAAACTAATTATCCTTTCACTTTATTTTTTTCCAAATTTCTGCCTTCATATACTTAAGATAGAAAAGCTGAAGGAAAACCTGTTTTTTAACACAAACCGTGGTCCACAAATGTATCTGTTCAGCGTTTCCCAGACATTCTATGGTCTTCTGTATACTGCTATTTCTCATGTATGCATTGACCATGAATGCACCAATGCAGCAATATATTGCAATAGACACATCAATTTAAACAGAGGCCTAAAAGCAAGAAGCTAAAAAAACCCCCACATTTTAGGTGAAGAGAAATTAACTGCTACCTCACAGTTCCTATACTTACTCTTTATTGTTACCATGCTTCAGTGACTGCTTTTGATTTTTATTCCACATTTCCTGTTGTATTCAAGATCTAGCTACCTATAGAAATTGTATGTGTTGTACAGTATCAAAACCATTTGCACAGTTTTGTTTGAACTACACAGCATTTCTCATTCTGATTCTTTAAGGCTATTAGAAGTACTCAGCCATGCCAAAAAAAAAAAAAAAAATTGAAAAAATCCATGTCCAAAATTATATTTTTTCATCTTGATAATTGTCACATCTTGCAACTCTGTGCAGTGCTATTGAGGCATGTCCATTGGCAGCTTTTGGCAGCTGTACTGCTAATGCCTATCACACTTAAAGGAAATTGATCAGGTCCCTGGATACATTTTTATGAACTCTTTAATGAGACTTTTAAAAGCATGTTTTTAAAGCTAAAGCATCTATTCAGAGCCAAAAACCTAATGAGGCTCCTAAATCTATATCATGATACTTAACCCTCATCAGTCAAAAATGAGGACACCTCTTCAAACATGGCAAGATTGTTCTAGCAATGTAAGGTTCTTATTACTTCCACTCCTCTTGCTCTTCACGCTTCAACAGCATTTTTACTACATTGATTCAAGACATATTCCCTGAAGGCTTCACAATGGACTTGTAAGTTTACATCAGTTAGACATCAAAAGCAATACAGAAAAGTTTGTGTTGCTGTATTTAAGGTTAATTTAAAAAAATATCAAATGCTAAAAAGAAAAAAAAAAGCAGACTTAAAACCTAAAGTTATCACTCTTCTTTACACACAAATATAACAAGCCCTAACCAAAGAAGCTCTCTCAGACTAGTGACATAAGCTGTTATCAAAGTCACCTCCCACTTCTTAGTTAAAACTATCTTCAGCTGAATTTTAACTATTCAGCCTGAATTTTTCTATGTCGATCACCTGCTTCAGGTAGTTTTCCCTCACCCTCCTCTCAGAACCACCTTTTGAAAAAAAAAGAAAAAAAAAAAAAAAGAGAATAGCTGGAGCATTTTTCTACCATGAAAGGACCTGGGGAAAAACACCCTGTTAGGTTCTTCCTTTGAAAAGCTGTAACCACTTTCCTGCCCTCCATCAGTACCTTGAAATGAGGTTGGACTGGTTTTTGTATGAGAGGTATATTCTGCTCATTTTGTGAAAAATCTGACCTGACTCAGCCAAGTACAGGCTTCTAGAAATCAGATTTTTAATGTATTTTTCAGCAAGATCTGACAGAGTTTTACAAGCAATCACCAAACAGTCCATCTTCAGTTACCTTCTGTATGTCATCTCAATATGCCAGGCAAGTGAATTCAGTTTCCTCTAACTTCTGGTTACAAGTGAGGAGCCAGAGTTTCACTGCAAGCAAAGTCTACATTTAACAGGCATTACGTACAACACTGAACAAAAACTGTTATCTTGAGTATTTATGCAGCCTCACCTGATATCTCTAATGTATCTCACCAATATCTCTATCATAGCTGAAAACAGTGGTCTGTTGCTTCATATTGTTGGGTAACTGAGTAGGATTTAAAGAACAACAACAGAGCATGCGGATGGAAGACAGAGAAAACAGCTTGAATGGCGACTAGAACTGGGAGCTTCAGAAAATAAACTGGGATTGATTAGACAAGAAACTAGAAGGAATATAACACCATGATGTGGGAGTGGATGAGAGAAAAATTAAGCCAAATGAGCAATTCCAGGTAGAACAACTCAGAAGTGGGGCTCACCAGGACTGAATAGAGTGAGGGGCAGAATACGTCTGGATAGAGCTGGATTTTAGTGAACGTGTAGAAAGGAGCTGGCTCACAACATAAGACTGAGAAAAGACCTACCACCAGGAATCAGAAACATAGACAAGAAAAATTAAGCTAAGCAAGGGACAAATGGGAAGAATTAGTAGGCAGGCAAAGGCTGACAGTGGAGAGGCAAGGAACAGTCAGAGACAGCCTGGAACTAGTCAGGCCTAAAAATTTGATTGAAAAGACAGAATCAGTGCTGCACTGGAGACTGGCTTGAGGCAGGGACAAGCTGGAAGTATAGGCAAGAAACTAAAAAAAGTGTCTGTCTTCAGAAGCTATTGAAAAATGTAAAATAAAATGCCCTAAAGACCTACCATCCTCTGCAAATATCTGCAAACCCCTTCCTTCCCCACACAGAACAAATATCCTGCTTTTCTCTACTACTGATAAAAATACAGTATAACAACCTGTAACTCTGTTGCTTTTTAATGTTCCCATACTAGACTTAAAAGCTCCAATCCTGCTAATTATCAACATGATGCCCATATCATAGACTATTAGTCTTCTCATTTTGCTATTTTTTCGTTGATTTTAACTAGAAAATTAGATGTAGAAGAACATTTACAAAATATTAAATACTAAGCTTGGAAATTTAATTTTTGGATGTCAAGGATTCCTCCATTTAAGTTTGTCTGCTAGCATCATTTCTGTCTTTACTACTATATTATCCCAAACTTTATTTTCTAAAATCTAAGTTGTATCTTGAAAGATGGCACTCTTTAAAACCTTGCTTTCAGTATTACAGAACCTAAATGCTACACAGGAGAACAGTTTTTTAATCTGAGCTTTTGCCAATGGATTCTTAACTGGTTGCATTAATTTCATTGTTGTGAACTTGTAGTAAATTACATGATCTTTCTAAGCACTTGAATTCATGAAAAATGGCACTTCAACTTCATTCCCTCTTCAGTACTCCTCTAACTGCTTGTTGCAACTGAATTGGATCCATTGTGCAATTTCAGAAAGCACAATATACTAACAGAAGTCAAATTATCAAGTAAAGCAGAGATGCAACCTTCTTCTCAGATCACTAGAAATAATGACTGCATTTTCAATTTTTGCACAAAAGCCAAAGAAACTTTACAAAGACAGTCCCCAACACACAGCAGTTTTTAGGTGACTCCAAGAAACTGGCATTGTTTAGAAGGTACATTTTTCTTCTTCTGAAAGTACTTAATCTTTGTTTCTTATCAATTTGTTATAATGTCAAAACCAGTCACAATATATCCTAAAATAAAGCATTCTTCAAATGAAAAATTTAGAACTAAAAACTAGTAAACTAACTAACAAGATGATAATTTTAGGCATTAAGAGAGTCTAGTCTACAGGGCAAAACAAATGGGTTGGTAGTAAGTATATTGGAGTATAACTTATCAAAAATACAAACTAGTAGAAATATATTGTATTTCTTTATGTCCTCAGTTCAAAAGTATTATTCATCAGAACATTTTAAAGACATTCTGAAGGCTAAGTATAGAGATATTAAAAAATTACTTTAAAAAGCTGAACCATGGCAACAAGCAGCTCAGAGTAGGTCTCTTGATTTTACAAGTTTTGAGTTGTGATATCTACTTTGCTCCTCAGGCTATGTTACTTATCCGGCTCTGAGATCAAGACCAGTCACCTTGACTCTAACACTGTTCACCATGCAACATACCATTCAACATACCATTCAGAAAAGTCAATACACACCTCATGATCCTATACTAAAACTCACAATTTAGGCCCAAATTTGCATTGTTTGTGCAAAACTGAATTGATTCTGGCACACAGAAAGAAAGCTCTGGTCCTTGTTTCTTTACCATAGATAATCTCTAACTTACCCCTCTAAGATGTGGCTGAAAAATCCAATTATTTATCTACAAGAGATTTCAGAACTTCCAAGTTGCTAAAAAACCCCCCATAACACATTGTTTGCAGCTTTTTACTGAATCATATTCCAACACAATGGCACATCAAGAGTTCCTAAAATAATTTTAGGTAACTGTTTTTTGTGCAACTCCCCATACAATTCATGCATAGCTTTAGAAAAAAGCTTTTAAAAAGCATCTAATACAGCCTGTCCTTCCTCCTCCTTCTATTATGTCCTTTAAAGAGAGGAAAACAACCAATCTTTATTTTCAAGGAGAGTAACACTTGGTATTTATGCACATGTCTGTACAGTGCTCATTACAAATCTTTGTCAAAACAAGCCACAGAAAGCAGCTGCTTTACTGCTTTGCTGTGTTTAGTCATACTAGCAATCTTTTTTGTTTTCTGGAAATCAACCCAAATGACCAAGATCAGTAAGAAATTTAATGTCAGTAAGAATAGGCTCAAAATAACTGGATGCTGTACACACTCAGACCCATACATAGTTTCACAGAAAGCTATAAATGAAGCTGCCTTCTTTTATTCCTCATCTGCCACAGCCTGGTTCAGCCTGTATGCTATATAGCTGCTCCCATGGAGACTACGAACACTCCTTAATACATCACTGAGGCAGATAGGAATGGTATTCTAGGGTCCTGTTTCATTATCAAAGGCAACAGCCAGAAAAGCAGTAACATTTCAAAATGCAGAAGTAAGGAACTATCTACAGAGTAGAAAATGCTTACCTGCTGAGCTAAGCAAAACACTGAAGTCTGTTCCTCTCTGTGATTCCCCACTTTCACTCTGTCCCTCTTTATCTGTATTCTCATAGCGGCTCCAGTTGGAAAAAACCTTTCTTCTGGAATAGCTTTTCAGTTCTTCCTCTTGTGATTCAGTATCATCATCCTCCTCTACCTGTGACATTTAAACAGACAGTTAAGCCACTGCAACTCAATAGCATTTTGTACTGTATTTAAATAGTCATTCACACAAACAACTCCAACCACAGAATTAAAAGCCAGAAAGACCAATCATCCTGGATCCCTGTCAGAATTTTAGATCAGGTGCCATCTCACTGAACTGTATGGAATTTATCAATAGTATAATAAAAGTACCTAGTGAAGCTTCAGTTCTTACAGGGGTCAGCAGTGCCACTGATGCAAGTTCCACTAGTTTCCCTCCTATTCTGGAAGCTCATAGTTTCCTTCCTGAAACCGAGGGCAAGGTGTAGGCAGCAGAACTAAGAACTGAATCACAATATCTCTATCCAAGCGTTACAGTGATACACATGATAGCTGAAAGAATTGATGTTTGTAGAGCAGAACAGGACATAGGTAACATAACAAATGCTGCAGAAAAAACATCCCAACAGGGTGATCTGTGTAAGAATTTCTGTTATAACCAACCACAGTGTCTGAACTCATGCAATATGTAATAATTTATCAAATTAATTTCCTTAATGAAAGCCATTTTACAGAAACGCACATGGAAAAATTAAATACACTGGTGGCAGATAATCAGCTAGCCAAACTCTTAACAAAACTCAAGGGTCAAAAGAAGAACTCATTGCAGTGAGCTTAAGATACAGGGAAAATAGGCATTTGCTATAAGTACTCAACAGCCATGAAAAGCTCTCCCCTCTCTTGAATCCTCTACATCAACAGAGGTCTCCTCTCACAGAGCTTGAGGTTAAGCCTGAATTACTACCAGTTCACAAACAAAAATCTGCTTCCTGGAGGAGAGAGCAATCATCAGGCAAAAGGACAACTGAGAGCAAGCAGAACAGTTCTGTACAAGATACTTTCTCTGCAGAGCTCTAAAGCTCTGAAGAGGTAGAGTAAGGGAGTCAAGCAAGAAAAGACTCCTACTGTGTCTGCTCCCAAACAATCCTGCTGACAGCTCCACTCTCTCTTCTCTCCTTTAATCCATCTGTTTTTTTCACAAACCACAACATACTGCTGCCATACAGTTCAATTTCACTACCAAATTTCGCACCAAGCATATTCTTCATGACCAGGGCAGTGAAATTCAAGTTTATCTACACCGCTGTAAAGCTTAAAACCATCTCCATTCAGTATGAAATAAGAAACTGAAAAATCTCTATCAATGCCATACAAATCCCTGTTGCACAACAAATACTACATTTATATGCAGGTGGATCATCATAAAAAGATGACTGACACAGACAAAAAAAGTAGGAAGGAGCAGTTTGTGGCCTGTTTCATGGCTTTTAGACAAATGTCCACTGAAAGGCAAAGCATCTTCAAACACGACTGTGAGACTTTAGATTTAATGTCTTAAAAATGACTGCCCAGCATATTATGCCAATAGCAAAATCAGAACTAGAATCATAACTTCCCAAGAAAATTAATCCACCAGTCTTCATAAACAAGCTTCTTTCAGCACTGTTTCAGAGATCTGGTTAGGAACATTATGAAGGAACGCTTAAATCATCAAAGAGTTTAAAAACAGATTAAAAGTTATCATTATATACTCCCAGCAGTCAAACAACTGACAAGAAGGAAAATATTCTGTGCATTGTCACTAATTCTGTGCCATTTTTAGGTAAATCCTATTTTCTTTCTGTTCAGTGGAAAAATACACTAAAATGGCTGTTGGTGACAAACAGCTATTTGCATGAGCAAACGGATGGGGATCGAGTCACAACTCTGTATTACTGGGAGCTAATCCAGAGCTATAGCTTCCACAGAACAAAGGCCAAATCCACTTATTTCAAGATAAGAATCAACTTATTTATCTTCTGTTAGTCTCTTACAAATTGAATGGTTTGCTATAATTCAGCAAACCTAGTGAAATTCAATGCCCAGAATAACTAGGAGTTGATAGAATTCACAAGTCAAAGGAAGAATAGTGCTACACAGATAGGTCTGTGTTGTACTTTGGTTTTATTTTTAAGAAAATATAAGAATCACCTTCGGCAACTATGACATCATATATAACTTCTTACTACAGACCTGTTTAAAGGACTCACTCCTTTCAGCCACCAACATAAACAAAACAGGAGCAGCACCTTCTTATTGTAGTACGTTTCCAGTATGCCCAGGTGCCAAGAAAGCAAACACCATCCTGGACTGCATCAAACCAGTGTGACTAGCATGACCAGGGAAGTGATCCTGCTGCTCTATTCAGCCTTGGTGAGGCCGCACCTCAAGCACTGTGTGCAGTTTTGGGCACCACAGTATAGGAAGGACATGAAGGTGCTGGAGAGGGTGCAGAGAAGGGCAGCTAGGCTGATTAAGGGTCTGGAGAACAGGTCTTATATGAGGAGAGGCTGTTCAGCCTGAAGAAGAGGAAGCTGAGGGCAGACCTCATTGCTCTCTACAACTACCTGAAAGGAGGTTGTACTGAGGTGGGGGTTGGTCTCTTCTCCCTAGTGACCAGCGATAGGACAAGAGTAACTGGGATCAAGTTGCACCAGGGGAGGTTCAGATTGGATATTAGGAAAAATGTCTTCACTAAAAGAGGTGAGGCATTGGAACAGGCTGCCCAGGGAGGTGGTGGAGGTGTTCAAAAAACAGACATGGTGCTTCTGGAAATGGTTTTGTGGTCATAGGAGTGTAGGGCTGATGGTTGGACTTCATGATCTTAAAGGTCTTTTCCAACCTGGATGACTCTATGATTCTAGTCTATGATTCTAATATGGATTGTTTTCTCTTATACTGGACTAAATTATTTTTCAAATTCTGTCATTAGCTACATTATACAGCACACATCTAGGAAATTTCACTTCTTAGAAGTAAAATTGTGACTTGAACTTTAAGAAATAAACCACAAATTCTCTGAAGCATTAATAGCAGTTGTGCAGCCTGGTTGCCCAAGTCTGTCCAAGAATATGTTGGTGCACACAGTTCAGGAATGAAGGTGTCAGAAAGAAGTAAACATTGTTCTTAAGAAGTAATTTTCCCCTGGGTCATCCTTCTGCACTTCCCTGGAACCCAGGGTGGTTTGGATGAAACCAAGACTGGAGTACATAATGGAGAAAGTACAAGTGACCTCTTGCACCCTGCTTCAATTATTCAACTACTCTTCACTTTAAGCATGGTAATTCCTAGCATGTTAAGCACATGTGTGCAAACTCTCAACAACAATAAACAAACTGAAAGTGCATTAAAAGTCAGACCTGCCACTGAGACTTTCTAAAAGTGTATTTATTACCCTTAGGAAGTTGCAGTAGTTAAGGCTTATAGTGCTCTTCCTGTTCAGTTCTATTAACTCTGTAAGAAAAGTTTAAAACATTTAATCTTTGTCAGTACCTAGAATATTCTACACATTGTGTAGGTATCATGCATTATTAGATATTTTAGATTATTTATTTTGTAGTATTTCTCCAACTTCTTTTCCTGAGAATGTCGCTTTCCAGACCGCATGAAAACATAATTTGACTTTTTTTGTTAATGTGTTAGAAAGAGCATAGTGTCCACACAGAGACAATTTCTCTTTCTCATCCCAATTTGAGCAGCACCTGTTACAATCAAACTCTCACTGATGGAATTTTCAAGTCACAGGGTCAAAAAAAACATGTAAGTAAGCAACAAAGCAGTTAATGATCTCTACACTTTCAATTGTTTTGCAGAATAAAAGTCTGTACAGAGAAACTTGTATGAGTGACACTAAGTAAGGGAGCTTGGCTTATACTAACTACTGAGCGGTACCTTTTGGCAGACGTAAGTGGGGATGTGAAAGAATTACAGTTACACTTTAATGACTTAAATTGCTCTTGGAAAGACTTACCTGCTTTTAATTTCATGGTTCAAAGTTATTGCCGGTGTAACCAAACAGGAGCAATGAGATTACACCAGGATTTATCTTAGCACAATACAAACACAACAGTCTCAAAAATATTTTTGTTTGTTTGTTTGTAACAGTGCTCATTAAATGCAACTTTTTACCTTAAATCCAGAAAGGTACTAGAGAATGCGCTGACAGCTTAATCTGATATATGACAATGATTGGTAGGCTTGTACCTTATGATAGTTATATATAGTAAAATAATCTGTTAAAAAGTTGTTCTGATTTTCCATGTTTACCTAGTTACAATCTCTAGCTATATGCTCCTCTGCTCTGTCTTGTAAGTAATTAGAGATGTAATAATGTATTCCTTTAGAAACTTCAGATTTAATGTTATCTTGTTATCTGATCTATTGTGGTGGAAATTTAATGGTTGCTACATGTAATTCACAGTGACATAGACAAGCAAGAATTTAGTTTTTAAAATAAAACTAAAAAATACCAGTGGCAAACTAACAAGGTTAACATGTCTGTCAGTGTATTATACACACACTTCACTATCTGGGAAGATCCCATGAGGCATGCCAGCACATTGTTCTGTCTACCTAGGAATATTAATGATGAGTTACTGTACAGAGAAAAAAAAAAAAAAAAAAAGCAAGTTGGAACAATATAAAAAGGTCAGTGTGCAGTAAAACTGGAATACAATCCCTCAAACTATTCTTACTTAGTGCTCTTAATCCAGATTTTAGGGAAGTAAATGGAAGATAAGATCTGTAAATTTCCCTGAAAAATCAGGTTTTCCTAATGCAGTGATACCATAGTTTCATTCAGAGGCAGAAAATAATATTTTGTAATAATATTCAGCAACACTTGCCAAAAACTGTGAGCTTTTAGCTTACCTTACTGAATTATTTTCAAGACATCACATCTAACCACAGTAACAATGAAAAAGATAATAATCTTGTCCATGAAGTGATTTTGCTTCGAATTTCCTGCTTATTCTATATATGATATGCAGGTAATTGGAACTGATTAGAAACCTCAAATGAAAGAGACTGTTTTTCATTACTGTTTAACCTCTAAAAATATTATTTGCACTCAGCACAGTTAGAACATGATCAAGTTCCAGAAGTCATACATCATGTTTCTCACCAATCATTGTT